CACCTTTAAGCACCTAATCACCGAACCAATCCCCTGTAAGCCCTTAATCACCGAACCAATCACCTTTAAGCCCTTAATCACCGTACCAATCACCTGTAACCCTAAAATATTGACTCTCATACAGCCTTGGTCGGGTCGGGTCGGGTAAGGTCAGGTCGGGTCGGTCGGTCGGGTCGGGTCGGCCGGGTCGGGTCGGGTTGGGTAGGGTCAGGTTAGGTCGTGTCTGGTCGGGTCGGGTAAGGTCAGGTCAGGTCGGGTCGGGTTTGGTCGGGTCAGGTCGGGTCGGGTCTCAATTTTATCAAAATCCGAATTAACCCGACCAATTCCTAAGTCTGAAATTCTCCAATCCTCTTCACCTATTACTAATCACATTATAACACCTAACCAATCACCCATAAGCTCTCCCAAGAACCAATCAGAACTCGCCACGTCACCCAGTGTTTATTTACATCATACGGCGCGCGCCATTTTTCACACGGACTGAGGATTCATAACTCACGGGTAACCAATGTTAATTTAACTACGCTTGCATCTGACGCCCCCCAAAAAATTTTGATTTACCGAGATTCTGATTTACCGTGATTCGTGCATAATTAATTCGGTGGCGATGGATGGCGGGAGATTAATTTAACCGTGTATACCTTGCCTGTACACATTAATAACCAGCCAGTTGAAAGAAAGAAAGGAAAAATAATATATAAGAGATAATGGTTTGTATTATTTAATTAAATTGAGTAAACTGATAAAGATTGTGTGTGTGTGTGGGGGGGGGAGGGGGGAAATAGACATTGAGTGTGTATAACTCAGAGTCGTTTGTATAGTTAGGTATTAAAGTTGTATGTAGAGAGAGAGAGAGAGAGAGAGAGAGAGAGAGAGAGAGAGAGAGAGAGAGAGAGAGCCTGAATGGTGTATGTAAGAGTATTAAGGATCTGGACAGTTATTATAATAAAATAAAACAAAACAAAAATAATGTAATATGATACAAATCTCTAAAAGGGATTATATAACTACCATACGTGTCTGTCTGTCTGTATGTTGACTCCCTAACTCCTATAACTTAGCCAGCAACTCTCTCCCACTGCCAAAAAAAATCGTCAGTAAGTTACCGTGATTCATCATATGCCTGGCAGTAGGTTGAAAGTATCGTACTGGGCTTTATACTTGGTTAGGTTAAGTTAAGCAAAGAATCGGGTGTACGGTATATAGATAAGATTCATCGTATACTTGGCAGCGTGTCGTTTCTCACTTGTTATCCTCTATGGTTAAAAAGTATCGTAATTCAGAACTCAGAAATTTACGATTCATTCGCCATACATCCAGTAGTGAGTCGCCTGAATGCCAACACAAGTCTGGTTGAATATATCATTGGTAGTAACTTTCCGGCATACTAGATTCATGCGTCATATGCCCGCCAACGCATCGGTCCCTTGCTGCCACCCACATGCTTAAACATATCGTACTTATTAACTCACTGTATTTAATTCATCATACACCTGGCAACGTGTGTGTGTGTGTGTGTGTGTGTGTGTGTGTGTATGTGTGTGTGTGTTTCCTCGTATAAGGGTCAAGACCTGGTCCGGTTAATGCCTTTCGCACACGCCGTCACTCCCGGCTTTGGTTGAGACACGAGCCAAGTTGTCGGTAGTTATGTAATGTTTCACGTTTATCCGATTACTGAGGGAGTGATGGCGGCTGTGTAGATGGCCGGGTGCGATAGTGAATATTGAGCTGTGCGATAGTGAATATGGAAGCGTGCGACAGCGGATATAGAGGTGTGCGACAGGGAATATTGAGGTGTGCGACAGGGAATATTGAGGTGTGCGACAGGGAATATTGAAGTGTGCGACATGGAATATTGAGGTGTGCGACAGGGAATATTGAGGTGTGCGACAGTGAATATTGAGGTGTGCGACAGGGAATATTGAGGTGTGCGACAGGGAATATTGGAAGTGTGCGACAGTGAATATTGAAGAAAAGGACAGTGAATATAGAGGTGTGCGATAGTGAATATTGAGGTGCGACAGTGGATATAGAGTGCGACAGTGGATATAGAGGTGTGCGACAGTGAATATGGTAGCGTGCGACAGTGGATATAGAGGTGTGCGACAGTGGATATAGAGGTGTGCGACAGTGGATATAGAGGTGTGCGACAGTGGATATAGAGGTGTGCGACAGTGAATATTGAGGTGTGCGACAGGGAATGTTGAGGTGTGCGACAGGAAATATTGAGGTGTGCGACAGTGAATATTGAGGTGTGCGACAGGGAATATTGAGGTGTGCGACAATTCAGGCCGAGCTGTCCCCTTGGTGTGTCTGTTTCCTCTTCCCGTTATTATGCTGTTTCAAATTTTCACTTCCATTTCCGTCCAGCAGAGTAGGTAAGTGTAGTGTAGTGTAGTGTAGTGTAGTGTATTGTAGTGTAGTGTAGTGTAATGTAGTGTAGTGTAGTATAGTGTAGTGTGTGTGTGAAGGTGAGAGTGTGAGAGAAAGTAAGTGTAAGTGAAAGCCAATGCAAGTGTGTGAGTGAAAGTAAAAATACCTCTCCCCTCAATATGAACATTCTCATTCTTTTAGCTTTCTCTTCAACAACAACAATAACAACAACAAACAACACCAAACAACAACAACAGCAATAAAATATAATAATAAAAATAATTATAAATATTGCCTCCACTTCCGCCCTCCGTGGGAACGCCGAGAGACCAGATAAAATTTGATGGGAATTTTTGCACACCCGACCCACTGTGTTATTTGTTCCTTTATTTGTTTATTTGTTTGTTTGTATATTGGGAGGAAGTGTCTAAGTGTGGAAGGTTGTGTTTGTGGGTGTTGTTTGTGTGTGGAAAAGGTGCTTGTGTGTTGGAGTGGTGTGTGTGTGTGTGTGTGTGTGGTGTATGTCGGGAGAAGTATCTGTGTGTGTAATCCTGACTGTGGCCAACTGATACTATCCTCACTTGTGGCCAACAGATGTCATTATAAGTGTGGCCAATTATTTCCCCCTATTTAACCCCCATTTTCCATGTTTTCTCCACTTTTACGCCAATTTCCATAATTTCATTAACTTGTCCACATTTTATTCTTTTTTTTTTCTCGTCCATGATACACAATGATGGTCCATATTTACACAACATTGGTTCCTATATACACCAAATTGACTTCCTATTTTTATTACCAAATTTACCAATAATTTCGCAAACTCTGTGTGTGTGTCTGTGTGTAGTCCCTAATAAGTCCCTTATGGAGCTCAATTTAGTCCCAAACAGAAAACAAAGTTCAATCATGCGCCAGAGAAACGTCCAATTTGGAAACTGAGGAAGACGATAATGGTGTTTTAAATGTCCTATTGGGTGAGAATTTCCCTTCCTCTACCCTCTCTCCCTTTGCCCCCCCCCCCTCTTCCCCTATTTCAACTTCCCTCTCTCCCTACCCACATTTCAACTCCCTTCTCCCCCCCCCCTTCCCACATTTCAACTTCCCTCCCTCCCCCTTTTACCCATTTCAACTTCCCTCTCTCTTTCCCCTTTTCCTCCCTTTCAACATCCTTCTCTTTTGCCCCATCCCCATTTCAACTCCCGTCTCTTTTCCCCCGTTCCTGCCCCTCTCCTGTTGACCTGAGTGCCAACAGTGGGTGCCTGGATGCCAACAGTGATTGTATACAAACAGCAAAAGACAGATGACTATCATAGAGTGTTAAACCAATGTACAGTAACAAAAAAAATACCCTTGAGTTAAGACGTGTAATTTATTTCCTGTGTTCGGTGATGTAGTGTGTGTGTGCGAGTGAGAGGGGAGTCCATTACAACACACACACACACAAAAGTCCTCTGGCTGTTGTATGTCACCGTCTACACACAAGCTGTCCATCGTCTGTACACTCTTACTAATGGTGACCTCGTATATACACCTCACCTGCAGCAACCATTCCCAAACTCTGGATAAATTGTTATATACGTTTGGGGTTGGAGTTACAATATCACTCGGGGGCAAAAATTGCTCTTCACTCCTGACTGAGGCTGTAACAAACAAAGATGAGATGTTACAGGTGAGTTAATACAAGTGAGGTAATACTGATGAGGTAATATAGGTGAGGTAACAGGGGTGAAGTAATACTGATGAGGAATTACAGGTGAGATATTACAGGTGAGGTAATACAGGTGAGGTATTACAGGTGAGATATTACAGGTGAGGTAATGCAGGATAGATACTACACTTGACATACTATAGGTTAGACACTACAGGTAAGATACTACAGGTGAGACACTACAGGTGAGATACTACAGGTGAGACACTACATCACCATCTGTAAGGTAGACAAGTAGTGGAGAGAATCACTGCAGTATCAAGTGTGTATAAGAGCAGTAACCCGTGAGTGATATATTATTTCAGTAAACATCGCACCTTTTCACATTCCTTCAGCTCCCCAACAAGAGAAGAGGATAACTTATCGATCAGAATTTAAGAATATTTTTAACTTAAATGATTCGTGAACACAGGTGAACCACAGCTTTGATGATGTTAGTGACAATATCGGACGGACAGAGAGACAGACAGACAGAGAGACAGACAGACAGAGAGACAGACAGACAGAGAGAAAGTAAATATGTACAGTATATGTCTACGTCACGAAATTCTTAAAAAAAAAATCCATGAATAATATTTACTGTATACTACTAATGTGTGTTTTCCCCCCTCCAACGGCCCACAACGTCGACATTAGTAAGAAAAATGACAATGTTGTTGGAGGATATAAAGGAAAATCTTTATTTAACAGCCTGAAAATAACCCATTTATATTTTCCTCCCGCCCTCCACACCTCTAATGTATACAAGGTGTCCAAAAATGTCTCCTTTCGGTTTTTTTTAATTATATTACAAAAAAAAATAAAAAAAAATAAATTGAATTATACGTATTTTAGTATTTTCTCACATGCATTATAAACTTACCTTCAGTATACCTGAACGTGTGTACCTTTAGTGGCTCATAAACAGTGGTGGATTATCATGGAGACAGCTGAGGCTAGAGCCATAGACCCCGTGCTAGAGAGGTCAGTAATCACAGTGGCCTTGTATCCTTTAATATACAAGTTTGATA